CTTCCTGGGTTCAATTCTCCAGCACTTGCCATCCTGTAAGACAAGTCAAATATGCATTTAGGACGGAAACCACGGACCCTGGTGACTTGTGAGGTGTGAGAAAAGGCACGACTACAGAGAGGAGGATAAAAATTGTAAAGCCTTCATTTCCCTAATCTAAGATACTGTGTCTGGGCAAGAGCCAGAGCTTATACAACCTGTATTTTACCCTCCTTTAACCGTCTGTAACAGACTTTTAATGTTGCCCAACCCAAGGGATGCTCCTCCTCAGGAGAAGGTTATTCCCCCTTCAGTCTTTTCTTGGAGTGTGTGCCAAGGGAAGCTACTTTCTCTCTTCTGGCTTCCCCACAACAGCGCTGAGTTTTCACAAAGGCTCAAGGCTGTAGAAAGCCATGACTGCTCAAATCCCACCACAGCAGCCACACAGCTGGAGGATAGTGTTGAGAGCCTGAAGACTAACTCTGCAAAACCAGTTGATCAAAACCCCACCACCAAAGTCCTTGCCCCTGAAGGAGCAAAGCCCTCGTCTCCCACTGATCATCAGGTGCAAAGAGATGCCCCAGAGCCCTTTGCTTCAGAAAAGTCAGCTCTCAGAGCTTACAGCAGGGCAGGAGAACAGTCAGCAGAAAGAAAACGGCCCTGGGGGCATGGCCCAGCCTTCCCAAGCACTCTTGTCCTCTGCTTTCTCATGGACTTCCCTTTATGGATGTAATGAGTAGTAGTGGTTTAATTTACTCATCAAATTAGTAATAATGGCTTACTCATTAAATTGTAGTGCATGTTATATTCTTATATATATATGGCATTATAATCACTGTTCTATTACGGGTAAGAAACTGAAAGTTGTAGAATGGTTCATTAATCTATCAGCATTGTAAGCTAAAAAACATGAAGTTTGCAGTTCTAAAGCTAGAAAGACAAACCATTGTGCCTTGTTAAGTAAATATTTTTGTATCTTATTTTTCTAAAAAGTTTATTGTCTCGCAACACGCATAAAGTAACGAAAGAAAGGACAAGGATTGAAGAGTCAGGAACTGAAACGATACAGAATATCCAAGATGGACATCTGGAGATGCCTGCACGCTAGGCCTCAAAGTCTAGGGACTGATTGGAACTATGGGAGGAGAAAGCACCTGGCAACCGAAGCAAGAATGCAGAGAGTCAACCAGAATCAGACCTGCACAGCTCAGATCCAATAGAAAAACAAGTAACAATGGGAGGGAAACCAATAAGGGAATAAAAGTTACTGTTTTTGTTCACTGCGCTTGCGTGCCGTGAGTGGAGCAGGAGACTCCTCGGACGTCCAGCATGCTGTTTTGCTTATTTGCATTTTCTATAAATCTTCAATAAATTTTTATTACTATATTTCAACTCAGTTTCATTTTACTTATAACATGGATGAGGCAAGAAAGCTGCAAGTTGCCCTGGGGAGGGAGGGAAGGCCTCACACTGGGACAGCTGTACAGACACAGCTCTGCAGGTCCCAGCCTGGGGTGACCATGCAAAAACTATCATTTATGTGCCATCACCACCCATTCTCTCTACAGGGTTAGAAAGCAGAATTTCATTGTGGAGTTGAAGAAAGCTGCCCTGGAAATCCCTCACTTGGGAAGTTACATTTACTCCTCAGACACCGGGGAAAGCAGCAAGTGGAAAACCCACTCTCCTCGACCCAGGAGGCTGAGCCTGAACTCTCTCCCTCCACCTGAGGCTTTACCCACAGACACCACCACGCCCATCGTGTCGGGGCTGGCTTCAGCCAGCTCCAGCAGTCCAGCCCACTAGGCATGGACAGGAAAACCCCCCCTGCCAAGCCTGTTTCCAAGCCCCTCACAGACCCCCTGCAGCGGGGAGCACATCCCACCCAGCCCCAGCCCTGCTGGCTGCACCAGCTCTGCTGCACCAGCTCAACTGCCCCTGCCTGGGGAGCAGCCCCAGCTCCTGCTGCCCTGTGCAGCCTCTATGAATTAAACAGCCTTTCTCTGCAGCTGCTCTCCAGATACTCTGGAATGCCGTGGAGGCCACAGGCTCCAGGGGTGCACAACCCCCGCAGGTGTATCTGTGTGCAACAGCCCGGCTGCTCTGACCCCCAGGAGGGGAAGCTCCTCTCCCCACCCGGAGCTTGAGGACAGACCTCACACCCTGCTCTCTACCATTGACAGCGGTTTGGCACAAAGCAAATGGAGATGGTATGAGGAAACCATATGGAAATCCTTGGCCTCTCGGGAGCAAAGGGCCACAGGCTTCTCTTCATCTCAGAGCTCCAAAAACGTGACTTGCACTGCTTAATACCTTCCGCAAAATAAAGGGAGACCTTGTAACCTCAATCCAGACTCGCTTCCGCTCCTACAACTCTGCAAACTGTTTCACTGAAGGTTGTCCCAGCTAAAACCACCTGCAGAGCCAGGTTCCTCTTGCCTCAGATGGAATCTCTTGCCTCCTCTCTCCCGCAGAGCAATATAGAAACTTACATATAAAATCCAAGTCCTGGGCTGCTACTGAGCACTGAGTTTCACTGGAAAACACCCCCACAGACACTTATTGTAATAAGTAGTAGTAGTTTAATTTACTCATCAAATTAGTCATAGTAGTTTACTCATTAAATTGCAGTGCATGTTATATTCTTATATACATATATGTTATTATTGTTAAGGTTAGGAGACTGTAAATTGTAGAATGGTTCATTAATCTGTCAGCATTGTAAACTGATAGGCATGCAGCTTATAGTTCTTAAGCTGGAAAGACAAATTATTGTGCCTTCTTGAGTAAGTATTTTTGTATCTTATTTTTCTAAAAAGCTTATTGTTCATAGCACGCATAAAGTAACAAAAGGAAGGACAAGGATCAAAGGGTCAAAAACTAAAACGATACAAAGAATCCAAGACGGACATCTGGAAATACCTAACACACCAGGCCTCAAGGACCAAAAACTAATTAAAACTGTGGACAGGAGAGCACCTGGCAACTGAAACCGGCCTGCAGGGACGCCAACCAGAACCAGGCCTGCAAACTCAGATCCAATAGAAAAACAACAAGTGACTATGGGAGGGAAACAGATAAGGGAATAAAAGTTACTGTTTTTGCTTACTGCGCTTGCACGCCCTGAGTGGAGTAGGGGCCTCCCCGGCCGCCCAGCATGCTGTTTTGATTATTTGCTTTTTATATAAATCTTCAATAAATTTTTATTACTATATTTCAGCTCAGTTTCATTTTACTTATAACACTTACGATCTCTGCTCTGAAGGCTGCAGGGACAATACCCAGATTGCACAGTTGGAGAGTCTGGGAAGTGTCCTGTATCACTTGGATCTTGCCGAAGTTTATCTGATTCACACTTGCATAGACAAGCGGTGCCTTTCCAGTGCACATCAAATGCATTTGCTGTTCCAGGAAGTAGGTAAGAGAGATTTAAGGGGAAACAAACAAACAAACAAACAAAAACAGGGAAAGTTAAGAAAGCTTAAACAGCTCAATTGCACTCAAGTAATTTCTTTAGGGACAGATATGACGCTCCAGCGAAAATGCTGGCCTTTTAGGCAAAAATTTGACACATTCCCCTCCAAATTAAAAAGATTAAAGTCCTGGAAACTTTCAAACTGTAAATTGTTGGCCCAAAGGTAAAAGCTTTGCAAAAAATCTGTAGTTAAAAACAATCTGAGAGTTAAAACAACTGGTTATTCTGGGGGGGGGAGAAACCCTGCTCTGTAAGGGAAGCAGCCTGATAGTTATGAGCAAGTGTGTTGTTAAAAGTCAGGCTCCCCTGCACAGCCTGCACTGCCCGCCCTTCCTGGTGACTGCTTTATGTGCACAACTGCAATGGCCCGGCTGGACATGGTTGGTGCCATCCAGGGGATCTGGCATCATCATTTCCATTTGTTTGGATGTAAGTTTTTAAATCCCTGCAACCACTTTTCAAACATCAGCCTTCCTTTCTGACACAGAAAGCTGAAGGTTCCCAGTAATCCTCTGACATCCTCTTTTGTGTTCAGAGAGGTGACATTTTAAAAGCGATGTTTCCAGTTACCAGTATTTTAAATGGAAGATTAATTAAATAAAATGATCCTCAATTTCAGCTTAGATGAACTACATGCTGAGGTTACCCCCTAGGAGGACTCCACTCTTGTTCTTTTCCAGCATAAACTGCTTATGCCGCCAGTGCCTTCTGTCCTTGTCCACACCGGCCATACACGACAAGTCCCTGCTTTCCCTGGAAGAATCCCTGTACACTTCACACCCCCCAGGATGAGCTGCACAAAGGCACACGCGCTCACCAGTGGGTGTCCTTCCTTCCCGAACACGGCGATGTCCGCCATGGTGGAATGAGCACCCACCGCCTGGACTTCAACTGTGATTGGGATCTCCAGCACCTCGTGACCCTGGATAATCCCACACGGCTTGGGGCAGGAGTACCACAGAGCAGCAGCCTCTTGGTGTCTCTAGAGGGACAGAATCAAGTGCAAATTCAGAGAGACCTTTGAGGAAACTTTAAACTCCTTAACATCTACCACACTGGCAACTCGCACATGTTTTTTAAAAATCCCCAAGAGAAAGCTGAAAGGCACAAAAAAAGATGCAAGGATTGTTGGGGTTTAGCATCCTCAGGGGGTCCAAAAGCTGCTGCATCCACAGACACCTGCTCCTGTGCTGGCAGCTTCCTTGCAGCAGCTTTTCACAACCTTCTAAGATCTCTCACAAGAAAACACCCCAAACACTAGAATATAAACTGCTTCCTGAAGAGGTTGAAATGCTTCCTGAAGTTGATATTCAGGCAGGTTCCTATTTAACTGCTTTCTAAAGTTTACATTCAGGTAGAATCCTGTCCTCAGCATACCTTTAAGTCTGAACAGAAACCAGCAAGGTCTTATTCAAATCCCATTTGTCCCTAATAAACCCTTCAATAATATTTGAGAGGAGGAGGTGGACAAGATGCCAAACCTGAGGAAGAACTCTGTAGCATCCCGGAAGGGGGCTAGGGTTCACAAGGGTCAGCTTCTGCTCGCAAGGCTCCTTTACAGAGCACTGTCCACTGTTGAGGCTGGAGTTGAGCAAACGCAGATCAGGAACGACACATCTGGGCAAAGAGATGACCCCGAGGGAATTAGAGATACGGAGAGAATGGAGAGCATTTACCCTCGCAGAGCATGGAATGGAGCATAAGACATTTCTCACTGTCCATCAGACATTTAATACCCTACAGAAATAAATCACCTTTCACGTCTTTCCACTCAAACACGTCTTGTCAAGGAGGGGCAAACCCTAAGACTCAGCACTGCAGAGGCTGCCAAGTGGTCGGGCAGAGCACGGGCCTTGACCCACAGCTGCCTCAGCCCCTCCTTTGCCCAAGGAGGCTTGCAAGGACTTCCCCAACAGGCCCGGCGAGCCGTGAGCTCTGGGGGAGCCTTCCCATTGAGGGTCAGTGCTCACCAAGGCTCAAGGAACACAAGACTCCAGTGTCTCCGTAAAAATGACTCCCTTCTTTCCCAGGGTGCTGTTGCCCTGCCAGAAAACTCATCCGTTTGCCCAGTGTTGAGGGCAAGAGCCACCACCTGCCCTACGGAGTGGGTGATCATCCTCCCAGTTTCCACAGCTCCCTTGCTGCTGCATCCCACAGGCCCCAGTTCTGTCCCCGTTGGCACTTGTTTTACAAAACTGCCGCCCAGGCACTGACTGGACGGCTCTGCCTGGGAGAGGGAACAGCACAAGGGAACTGCATCCCTGGCACTGACTGGACGGCTCTGCCTGGGAGAGGGAACAGCACCAGGGAACTGCATCCCTGGCACTGACTGGACGGCTCTGCCTGGGAGAGGGAACAGCACCAGGGAACTGCATCCCTCTTGCATTGAACTGACACCCACAGCAGCACCACAGGATGGAATTTGGCTGCACCAAGAACAATGTCTGGGTTAAGTCTGAGAATGTTAATGCTCAAAAGAGCCAGAGGGACGCAGGGAAACCTGAGCCCACCTGCCACATCATACTTTCCCCTGGTAAGATCTTGCCTTTCTATTGCCCTCACCACTCCTGCTGTGAGCCCCTTTCCCATTGCCATATGCCCTCGTTAACTGAGCCAGATCCCAGCTCTCAACAGGTTGTTCACTGTGTCCCAAACTAGTGCTGTAGTGTGGCTGGAACCCAACACAAGCCCACCTCTTGCAGGAAGAAGGAGAGGAGGACCTTGGGGAAGTTTTTACACCTCAAGCACCAACAACCAGGCCCATAAATAATGTCATTCCCATTCCCCGTAGAAAAAGGCTCAGGGCCATGCCTGGCAGTGAGTAGGGCTGCTTCTCACCACGGGCTGCTTTCCAAGCACTCCTGTTCTCCTATCTAGCTGGGAAGAACCAGTTTATTAAGCAAGACTTCTCCTGGAGGTGTAGCCAGCAAACCCCATGCAAGGCAGTGCTGGTGGCGGGCGCACGGGGAAGGACAAGTAGCTGCAAGGAAAGGGCTGGTACCTGGCTTTGAGGCGCAGAGCCAACACCGCCTTGCCAAAACCATCCACGTCCACCACCATATCGCAGTCATATTGTCTCACATCATTGGAACACAGAGTGACCTGGTGGAAGAGAAGAGCAGCAAATATTTCCCTTCTCCCAGAAGTTCATTAGCCATGTGTGGTCTCCTCTGGGTCTTGTTTCACAGTAAGGAAAGGGAGGATTTTGCCTTGATTCTTCTGCTGGCCCACGTGTAGACCACAGTCTCTGGGAGTAACACAAGCCTTCTGGCAATATTGAATTTGTCAAACACACCTTGCAGTTGTCAGGGCACAGGTGGCTAAATTAAAGCACTATATATAATCGTGGATAATGAGACTAAAGCTTCGAGTAACCCAGCTCCTACACCAGGGCAGATCTCTCCCTTGCACACACTGAGACCCGGCAGCACTAAGGCCCTCCCACACACCAGTGAGGCTTCAGCCCCACCTCCTGACCCATGTATGGCCAGACCCCTCCCATACCCTGATCTCCTGGAATCTCTGGGAGGAGATGGTTCCTGTGGTGGGTGTCATGGTAAATTCCTTTGGTTTCTCATGACATTGAGCCGGTGTGCCTTTTCCCCAGGATGGGTGAGCGTTGTCTTTCATTTGATCAAAGCTGGTAAGGCTGGGTTGTCCCAGGCCATCCTCAGGAATGCGAAGGTGGAAGGTGATGGGCACCACGGAGGTGTTGATCAGGCGGCACGACAAGGTGTGAGGAAAGCCTAGGAAAACGACACAAATGGCCATGTAGGCACCGAGCATCTCATGGTGTGAATATCCTCGTAGGATGAAACTGTGCTTGGAGTTTAGCTCTTTGTTATCTGAATGACAGCTCATTGAGTTGCTCAGCGAGCAATTAATCGACATTTGGACACTGACCCTGGGTTGCTGCCTTGGAAATGCCCACTCTTAGTCCTGCTAAGCACCACAAGTTTCTCTCTCTCTAACTGCCCCAAACCAGCGCCATCAATGATTTCTCACTGATGAGTGTGCATCCAGACTGCCCATTTACTCTGAAATTTCAAGCCATACAATTCCCTGTTAACATTGCCAACACTCCCACCATTTTCAAGATACGAAAGCACTGAGTTGTCACTGGGGAGAAGCTACAGCAAAAGAAAAGAGGAGGATGGAATGGGGAACTGGAACATGATGCAAAGCACCCCAATGCAGTTTCTTTAGGCAGGATCCTTAAGGGATCTCCTGGCTTGGGGCAACCAGACTGAGCACATACAACTCACAGCCCACTTCACTGGAGGCAAACTCAAGGCTTGCTCTGAGATCAGTGATCAGGAACCATGTCCTGCCTTATCCAACAAATGGGGACATCACAACCACACTGCACATTGGCTGTGATTGCTGCCCACAAGAGTTTACAGCACTTTAGCTCTGAGACTTGCTTCCCGGAACGGAAAGCCAGGGATACAGACACAACTGCTGGGGATGTCCTGCAGAGCCAGGACACCAGCCTGCAGCCTGCTCTGCAGTGGACACATGGCTTGGCTGGCCAGCTCTGTGGGGAGGAGATGTCTCCCAGGGCCTGCTTACCAAGTATCATTTGAACCCGAGTGAGGAGGAAAACCAACTGCAGGCACAGCAGGGAGCTCCTCCGTGCCCACCAACAGTGACCACTGCCCAGTTGCAGCAGTGACTCCAGCAGGGAGGCAGGAGGGGTACAAAAAGGACAAACACGGGTGTCCCAGTCCAGAATGAGACCACGGTCACCAGATGCAGACAACAGTCAGCAGCATAGTTAAAAGAAGCAAAGATACAACAGCTGCCTTCAGCTGAAGAGGTCTCAGGAATGAAATTAGAGGAAACAGGATGAATCTCATATAACACAACCATATTTGTGCCTGCTGCCTTTCTTCTTGTTTCATTTATTCAAAAGAAAACTAAGAAGGGGCTCAGCAGCGATACAGGGAAGGGAGGAAGCGGCTCAGGGAAGGGAACGAGTTTTTTTAAAAAGTCCATGAACTGCATGAAAACACAGAGGCATCCTGGGTGCAGAATGATAATGGCCCTTCAATCAACCCATGACTGATTTCACATTTAAACTGTAGATCATCTCAGCAGAAAGCCTTTTGTCAGCCTGAGATGGAGAACCAGAACCTGCATTTCAATGGTGACGCTCTGGATGTTCAGCCAAAAGCTCTCTCAGCAGAGATGGGGAAGAAAAAGAAGCCCACAGCTCTGAGGACAGAGGTGCCTGAGGCAGAGCTGTTGCTGGGGCATCTGACCTGGTCAGGCATAATGAGGTGCCATCACACCACTAATTAACATCCCACAGTAAAGGCACATGGTTTAAGCTCCCTTCTCCTGCAGTCCCATCCCCTGGGCCTTCCTGGGACAAGGACTTTTACGGCCATTCTGCTGGTAAGGACTGGGAAATTGGAGCAGAAGAGACTACACGGGACACCAGAAAATACTGACTTTCTATTCCTTTTGGTCCCTTTGGATGTCACGATAGCAAAATGCCATCAGCTGTTCTGGCGTTAACACCCTGCAGGCTGCCGTGGAAGGGCAGGAGGGACAGATGCTCTTCTGTTCCAGTGCTCCATTTTGGCAAGGCACAGATCCCTCCTGCTGTGTCCAAGCCCAGGGAACACTCACCAAAGGAGACGTCATTGAAGTCAAGGGCTCCTGTGCTGAAATGCAGGCTCAGTCCGGTGATGCAGCCCCTGCGAGGACGAGGACAGAAGAGGCAACGCTTGGTTAAAGGGAACTGCAAAGCCTTCGGCTGTCCTTCTGGCTCAGCTGGATAACAGCTGGTGGACTGTGGGTGTGGAACCAGCCCACCATCCTGTGCTCAGCACAACCTCCGTGTGCACAGGAGGCAGCCAAAGCAAAGTGGTCGGCAGCCCACAGCTGCTGGATGGGCCTTGGGGCACCACGGCAGGCAGGGCATACCCCCCAGGTGCTACTGGCCCCACGAAGGACCCTGTACACACACCCGGAGATGGCTCTGTGCCCTTGCCTTAGGAGAAAGACCGACTCACTGCTTTGCTCTTGCAAAGTAATAACCTTCTTGTTATGTTTTATCCATTTCCCCTATGTTACTGGTAAAATGGACTGCAGATTCCTCTTGTTTCTTTCACTGCCTTGATTCAGTGCCTCCCAGCAGCGGCCCAGACACAGCCACCTCCAAAGCTCCAGAGCGCCCAGCGTCAGCTTTCCCGCCTACACCACAGCAGCCCACCAGCCCGTGGTTCAGACCAGCTGGGACAAGCCCTCATGCTGCTGTGGTGCTGAGAAGGGAGCTTTGCCTCTCCCGTCATCACCCCTTCTCCCCTTTGCTGGGCGAGGATTATCTTTTGCAATGGCACCAGCCCATGGGGTGATGCCCAAGTCCTTGTGACAGTCCCTGCTGCAGAGCTCCCTGTCTCCCACACCAGCCCCTTCCTGCTGCAGAAAGGCGGTACCGGAGCACTCCCTGCACCGGAGCCGGGAGCAGAGCCTGTGCGTGTGCAGGAGCATGAGGGATGATGTGAGGCTGCTGCTGCCCCTGGGGCATGGAACATTAACAGAGGATTTAAAAACCACTTCTCCTGGCTGCAGAATCACCCAGGCTGGCCCATCTCCAAAGCCCTGGGGGCCTTGCTGGGCGTTCAGAGGGGACATCCCAGACGAGTAACTGCCCAAAGCTGATGCCTTCCCACTGCCTGCCACGGCCCAGGCGGAGGGAGGTCCCTGCAGGAAGGAGCCACTCCAGCTCCTGGGCACCTGCACTGGGCAGAAGGCATCCCCACACTAAGGGGATGCCAGCATCAGAGGCAAGACTAAGACCTCAGGCAACACCTTTTTTCTCTGCTCCACCACCAAATGAGGTAGGTGGGAGAGGATTACCCAAAGACAACTACAGACATGCCCACCAAGCTCCCAGAGCCCTCCTCACCTGATAGTCAAGGTCACAGGCTTAGGGGATGCAGTCACATTAAAATGAAATTCTTCATAGAACTCCCCCAGGGTGGTGGAACTGAAGGAGATCTGTATGGGCTGGAGGCCATTTGGTGGAATGATGCCCTGCTGGGGCAGAAAGGTGAAGCAGGAGCCGTGGGCTGTGGTTGAAGGGATGAGCTCAAAGGGAGCGTCAATAGCTCCTTTGTTAACCAGGAGTACCTGCAGCAGCAAGAAAGCAAAATGGAAATACGTGAGCAACCGTCTTTTCTTACAGAAGCCTGAGATGCTTACTAAGAAATGATTAACCCCGGAAAGGCAGAAGATGCCGTGAGCTGCTACGTGGCAGAAGGCAAAAAAGTACAACAGGACAAGTTCTGCCTTTGGGTTTTCATGCAAAGGGGGGATAACTTCACATAACTAGAGTCACTGGGGGGCTATCCCAGGGACACAGAGCGGTCCACTCCCGGTCAGCATCGCCAAGTTCGTTCAGACCTGGCCTTAGGAGCAACATGGGGCAGTTGCAACCATGTAGTGAAACCCTACAGAGCTGCTGCTGCTGCTGCTCCAGGGTTGCCCGACCCTGCCAAGGCTTCCATGGCAGCCAACCATTTTATTGTGTGTAAAAGACACCTCAGAATGGTGCTATCACCAACTTCAGAAACTCTCCCCAGCTCTGTTAGGGTAGATAATTTGGGGTTATTGTATTTTTTCTTTAATCTGATAGTTTCTTAGCCCTTGCTCAGCGAGACATGTCAAGAAAGGATGAGTGTGAGGTGCACAGCAGCTCCACCTATTCTAAAGAGTTGCTCTCTCACAGCTCTACACAGCCATAGGAAACCCTGGCATTGCCATGGACTTATCCATCTGCTTTGGAATTCTTTCCCTAATTGTTAGCCTGGCAAAACCTGTCACAACAGTTGAGGCAAGAGCAGAGGGATGTCCCTCATTTTGTAGCTTTGCGGCCGCTGTTGAAAACATTCCCGTATTCAACCTCTGCCTTGAAACTTGAAAACCACTCTCCTCTCGTGTGTTACCTGTGGTACAAGCTGCACTTAGGGATCCCATGCTGAGCTGAGGTTTACCTGCAGTGTAGCTGCTTAGGACAGCATTAACAGTATCATCTACTCATTCACCCTTTCTCATGTAATGACAGTAGTAAATTGATAATGAGAAACAATAAAGTATCAACATCAAAAATGCAGAGAGAGCACAATCTTTTGGTAAGAAGACAACTCAGTGTGTCCTTCCCTTCCACGGCAAAGCTTTTGAAAGTGTCTGGCATGATGTAGTGCCTCATTTTCTACTTTTTTCAGTTGCTCTCTCTTGCAGTGGACTCTTGCAACCAGTTTGTTCCAGCTGCTCTTGGACAGCCTCAGCACAAAGGTGCCTTGAGTCTGAGGCTGGAACAGAAGCCTCTGAACACTTCAGCTTTTTGACTCAGTGTTGCTTTCATGTGTTGAGGGGGTCTTTTGCAAAAAACATCCCAGCTGATCTCCAAGCGAGGTTGCCAAAAAGCAGGAACTGGGACTTCATGGACAACAGACAACACCTTTCAGACCCCATAAAAGGGTCCAGATTCTGTGAAACCCCCAGAGTTGACTAGCATGTCAAATATTCCCTGCTCACAATTGCCCAAGTTGCCAGAAATTCCACTGGTCCACCACGCTCTCTGCTGCCCCAGGAGCCATCAGGATCCACCCCAGCCCCTGCTGCTCACCTCATAGCTGTAGGTTTCTCCAACAAAAAGTTGCCCCATGTTGATTTCCTCAAAGTTGAGTTGGAGGCAGGGCCCGAGGCCTTCCCCTGTGAGCTGCAGGGGCAGCCTGCTCTCACGGCCTGGGGAGAGATTTCCGTTTCAGTACAGTTATTCTTACTCCCTTATCCTGCTTTTTCCAGGCTGCCTCAGTGCTAGTTTCTGACTCCGAAATGGGTGAGACCAGCTCCTGATGCTCCAGGGGAAGAGATGGACCCTTCTCTTCCCTCAGGAGATACGCCTTGGGGCTGGCTTCCGATTTCTAACCCACCCCTTGGGTTTGTTTCCCATTTAGCCACCAGTTTGCACCCTGAAAAAGCAATGCCGAGTTTAAAACATGATTTCTGTAGTGATAGGACAAGGAGTAATGGGTACAAATTGGGAGAGAGGAAATTTAGGTTAGATGTACAAAAGAAATTCTTCCCTATCAGGGTGGTGAGACCCTGGCACAGGTTGCCCAGGGAGGCTGTGGCTGCCCCATCCCTGGCAGTGTCCAAGGCCAGGTTGGACGGGGCTCTGAGCAACCTGGGCTAGCAGAAGGTGTCCTGCCTGTGGCAGGGAGGTTTGGGACTAGATGATCTTTAAGGGCCATTCCAACCCCTTAGCAATTCTATGATTTCCTTCCCATGCACTTGGAGGAGCTTTGAAATCCATTCAGTGAAGGGACAAAGCTCACAAAGAGCTGGGCATTGCTGCCTGGATCTAACTAGGTTGGGGTGCAGTGGCCCAACAGCACAGGACTTGACAAAATCTTCTGCTGCTTTCTGACACTCAGCATCATGTTCACAGAATGTCCCCCTGTGTTTGGTGACTGTCTTGGAACATGATTCTCATCTGACCATGTCAACAAACAGAGATGCACAGTTTCACATGATGCAGGACATCACAAGGAATGCCTTGGGAGCAATCCGTGCTTTCCTTCCACAGCTCTAACAATGGCTGTTGGTGGGCAGGAAGAGAGTTAGCATGAGCCCTGTGTAATTACTGTAGATGGCATTTGTTGAGTAAACCCTGCACAATTACTGTCTAAATAAAAAGCTGTTTCATGATATTTGTATCCATCAGCTTGGAGCAGGAAGGAAGGCAACAGAGTGGCTGGGTTAGGGATTGCAGCACCCTGCAGAACAGGAACCTGGCTGCTGGAGGACCACGGGCCTCCCAGCTCTTTCTCGTAGATGGGCAAACCCAGAGTATTCCCTGGATGGAACCCTGACAGCCATCTGCCACTTAAAGGTGAAAACCACTAAGCAGCACCGTGCAGAGACAGAGAGGAGGGATAGGGGAACCTGAACCATGCTGTGCTCTGCGAGTGTTCCCTTCCCTATGTGTGCACAACAGAGCCCACACACAAGGAGAGAAGCAGGTGCTGGCCAGGGGTGGTCCTTCTGCCGACAGCCTGGGCTCAGCAGGGCTCAGCCACCTCTGGTCTGATGTTGTCTGGGCAGTGGGAGGTGACCTGGGCTCAGGGAGCACATTTCTACCTCAGCTCCTACCGCCTGCCAATGGATCCATGTAATGAGGACCCATCCTGGAGGTCAGTGGTCTAGAGGGGCTTAGTGCCTGTTCCCTAAAGCTGCTCTGCTGTGCAGCTCTTTGGCATTTGAGCAAATGCTGGCAAACCCATGGCATGAAAGCTTATCCATGCACTGCTTGGATTGTTCTGGGATCAGTGTCCTGAGCCCTGGCCTTGCATGGGAGACTACCTGGAAGCCACAGTGCACATGAGCCAGCACTGCCCTGCTGACCGTGGACCCTTGCCAGCACTTACACGGGAGCCCAGTGGGTCGCAAGAGTATTTGCACCTCCCCCTCCCTGTGGGTGAGAGAAAGAGGAGAAGGAGCCGTACCTGAGATGGCACAGTAGGCCACTCTTCCATAGGCTTGGGCTTTGCGGGGTTTAAACAACACCTTGATTTCTGCTGAACTGTGCGAACCAACCTCTCCCTCCTAAAACAGAAAGAGGCAGCAAACCATTTAAATTCCAGTATCAGACTTCTTCTTTTCAACCTGTAAGCCTTTACTTAGAGTAAGAAGTGAACAACACAAGGAACCTGAGGAAACTGAGGAAAGCTCTTGGCTTTAGTAGGGGCTATAGGAATAACCAAGAAGAGAGCATGATCCCCTTCCTTGGAAAGAAAAAACTTAGTTTAACTTGTTTTAAAAGAAAGTAGAGGCTGGGATTATTGTAGGGTTTACTGCAAGATGAGGAGGGCTTTTGCACCGCACAGACAGCAGGGATTCTTCATCTCACACTGTGCCAGTACTCATAATCAGGGCTCTGGTTGATGGAAGGACATGGGGGTTTGCTTGCATTAACAGAAGAAGATTTTCTGTCTCTGTGTGCAATAGAACTCCAAAAGTCCATTTCAAGGTCTTGTGTCCAGGCTCCCAGATGATACTGGAAGGGAGACTCAAACATGCTCTAAGTCCTGGTTACAGGAAGGGATTGGCATTTCCATGACCTTGGGCTGAATTTGGCCTCCTTTTCACTTCAGGTCAATCTGTGAACTGACAATGCTTCAACACCTCTGGTAAACCCCACACATCCCATGTAAGCTGGGCCCCTTCCTGCAGTAACCAATCCCTCTGAACACCACAAGGACACGCACCAAGGTCCCTTGACGTCGAGCCCTTGCAGCAGAGCTCAGCTTTAGGCAGGTTCCTGCTGCCTACCAGGAGCCCACAGGGAAGCAATGCTTTTTGCAACAATCTCTCCAGCCTCACCAGAAACCCGATGTCTTCCCTCTGGGCACATCAAGCCAGCTGAGGTGGGGAGGAGGAGGAGGTTCTCAGTTATCACTTACCAAGGGCTCAATGGTGAAAACGTCGTCTGAGAACAACAAGGGGTCTGCTTGAATCTTTGCTGTCTCATTCTCGAGCTTGCGATAGTAAAGGTGAACCTCCTCATAGCGTTCCATCATCAAATCCTTCGCTATGTCCTGGGGTGGCCGGGACAGTTTGTGAGACAGCCTGCAGCCACAGGGAGAAACAAATGCAGCAGGTCATTTAATAAGCCACTTCTTTGCAGTGTAAGTGCAGAAGCAGCAAAGCGCTCGGGGAGGAGCAGCAGCAGCTCCCAGCAAGGGGCTGAGCCTGAGCCATGCCGTCCCAAAGGGCTCAGAGGATCACTTGTTGTTCGCTTGCAGGGCAGGTGGTTTTCCTCCACACTTATAAGCTCAGGAGAGGTTTTGAAAACCAGCAGCCCTCAGGAGAACCTCCTGACTCAAAGCCACTGCCAAAACTGAGGGACAACCCACCAGTGACCCCAACTGACTCGTCCCACCACAGAGCTGTGTGGGGGAGTCAGATACAGATCAAGGAGCCCCCCACTGCCTGCAGGGCTTCCCTGGGAAGGGGAGAAGAAGCTGGCTGTCAGCTGCAGGTTACCAGCAGCACTCTTTGCTTCTTCCCCTTTGGACCTGCAGGGACAAGCTAACCCTGTCTGCCCTGTTCCCTACACTGCCTTCCCCCAGAGCATCCCAGAGCACTTTCAAAGCCAGTTGATGAATTCAGGCGTGGCATCTCTTCAGTGACATTAAATTTGTTACATGCATGAAAACAGAGGCCCTGAGAGGGGACCATCTAGCCTTGAACTACCTTCCTTTTTTCCTCCTTTTGACCTTCTCTGCAGACCTTTGGCACACTTAATCTCTCCATTACTTGGTAGCTGCAGCAGAAATCATTCTAGTGCTTTAAGATCACAAGAACAAAGGAAGGAACAGTTGCTTCCAAGGTCACTGACATTGTTCAAGGTGGAGGCCACAGCACTTCAGAATGGAGGACATGGCCACACGATCCTCCCATGCTGCTGGTTGGTCCCCCTGTCTCTGGGCAAACTGCACCTCTCTGGAACTGACAACTGAACAACCAGTAACTTTGTCGCTTCTTACTGTGAGCTGTGACTGCCCTGCAAACTTTGCAGGAACACCTACTTGTTCCTGATACCCTCAACCACTCAAAAGCACAAGCACACCCTGAGGCCATATGTCAGTTTTACCCTCGGGCAGTGTATGTCGCTGCATCTTTCAGACCAACCTGATCTTCTGGTGATACTCCTCTCCCTCAGTAGCAAAAGCCTTCCACTGGAATTGGGCTGTGATGTCACTTCTGTTGTGGATGACCATGGTTTTGTGGCTTGACAGTGTGAGATAAGTCTTGTCAAATTTCAAAGAATAGTTGCCAAGCCCAATGTTGAGGTCCACAGATTCTCCAACAAGTCTGGTGCGGGTATCTTGACCTGGAACAAAGCAAAGAGGAATCTTTGCTCAGCTCACAGCTGATGGAATTACAAGGAACAGAGCAAACCACAGGAAATGGAAGAAAGTGATCAGCTTTTAGCTGGGTAAGTAATTTTAGCTGGGTCAGTACATTGATCAAATTCTAACAGCTCCATGTGTACAGTGTGAGCATATCCTGGACACCACCTTAAGCATCTTATTTCTGGGTGTGTTTGTAGAGATTTGCCCCGAGGTGACAATATTTACAGTGAGATTTGTCAGGTGTGCTCAGGTGCCCACTCAGATCACAGGTAATTCTGCACCAAATTCCTTCAGGTGACTCTAAGGAGCCCCACTCAGTCACAGCCCAGGCTCTCCTGAAGGCACCCCACGAGACTCCTGCCTCTCCCAGTCCCTTGCTGCTGACAAGCAAAGATTCTTGGGGGCAGGTGTGAAGAAAGGGAGGTCCAGGGGAGCAAGGGGAGTGAAGCCCACGGCAGAAGGGGGCAAAGGTGAGGAAACAAGACACAATGCTCTACAACATTCACTATGACAAACCACTAGAAAATCAACACCATGAAAACCGTCATCCCCTACCTGTCCAAAGCCATGGCCACATCAGTCTAGAAATATATGATATCATTCTGATCTCAAACACCAAGCTGAAGCATTTGAAATGAAAGAAAGAAGGGCAGAGAGAAAGACTGAAAGTACAGAGCAGCTTTTATACAAAGACTGAATGGGGTTCCTCAAACTAGAAATCAAATGGGGGACAGATGAAAGAGGTTTGGAGAGCATGAATGGCCTGGGAAATAGGAATAAGGAAAAATTTGTCATGATTTGTCATCAAACAGGAACCTGAGGGCCTGAAAATGTTCTTAGACAGAAATTACATGTATAGGAGAACATAAAAAAAGGGTCTGTGGCAAGATAACAGAGAAGCAGCTTAGGGGACAGAGGTGAGCAAGAGACACACTGCATTGGAGTTGGATGGAAACCTCGCACGTCACAGACAGCACTGTCCAGGAATACAACTTGAGCCCTGCACATCCACACTGCAATGGAGAATCATGGTTCCTCCTTCCCCACTCAGCAACTCCCAGCAAAACAGGCTTCCAAAAATCTCATCCCTGTTTGAGGGCATCCACTTTATCAACCCCCTAAACACTAACTAGTTTTCCCTTTTCTTTGCAGTAAAGCTGGGGCAGGGCGATACTGCTGGAGGGGCAATTCAGGTGGCTGGGACAGTGGGGAGGGCTGGTAGAGGACTTGCGGGGGCGGTGCTGGTTGGAGAACACCATGCTGACATCAGGGTCCCCCCAGGGATGGACTAGCACACAGCAACACAGCACATGCAGAACAGGGACAGACTCAGCCTTGGCCTCTTCTTTGCTCACTTCTGAGCACTGAAACACTCGGAGGCTTTGAAAGGAATAGTTCTACAAGTAGTTTGCAGAGCAAGTCTAACGATATTTGGCTTAGAAAGGGCTCTGCTATTTTGAAGGATGCAGAGTGAATGCACCATGCAGTGCCCACCACTCACCTCTGTCACAGTGCACCACCAGGGGTGTGGAATGATCCCCGGTCTCCAGTGGGTAATATTCCACTGTCACTTGCATGGTTTCACCAACATTGAGGGTTCCCGTGGCTGGACTGACAGTGAAAGGGCTGCAAGACCAAGAGAGAGATCAGGACTTGTGGGGGAGGTTTGGGGATGATATTTGCAGTCTAGTTCACTTCAGCTGACTTGTGCAAGCAAGGAGCAAAGCAACCCACAGTCAGCAGAATAAAGAACATACAGCATCAGCAACAGCTACTGACTTTCTTCTGAGGAGATCCAGCCGTCAGAAGATCCTGTAGGATAAAATGAACTCATCTCCCCCATACTCTGCAATGAGGCTCAAGGGTCCAACTGCCAGCAATCCCATCTCTAATGGTTTGGGAGGAGCACAGAGAGGGTTAAGAGCTATTTGCATGCCCAACTTGACACTGACTGCCTCAGGAAGGTCTCTTCTCCCGGTCCCCTATAAACCTCATTCAAGAGATGCAAATGGCAGGGCACTACCTATCCTGTGAGATTACAGCTAGGAATCAACAGGGAGAATAAAGAAGCCCTTGAAGACCAAAGAATAATGAGTTTAATTTGCAGTGTGGTTGTGTGGGGTTGTTTTTCACCTTGTCAACACCCTGTTTTAGCCTAAGAAAGGGCATGTTTTTTCAGCATTTCAGTGAAAGCTGCCGAAAGAAAAGGAGCAATCAAAACTCTGAGCGCAACTGCAACTTAGAGCAATACAGTGACACAGAAACAATACCCAAAAGGAGGGTCCCGTTTACAGCCTGGAGGATTCAATCCCAGCTAAATGAAGTGCCATTAACAGCAGCACACCAAGGGAGCTGAACGAGAGGTTTCTGTGTATTTCACCAGCGATGCAGTCTGGGATTCTGGAGTGTCATCCAGGCTGGTAACTCTTTGCTTGGCCCACCAGTGAAATAAGGGAAATAATTAGGCAAATATGTTGGTGTAGTTTGAATTTAACAGGAGCAATTAGGGTTTGTCACCAGGTAAACAGCGCTTGCCTGACAGACACAAAAATCAGTGCGTCAGTGCTTTGGGATAGCTCAGGTGAAAGGTGCTTCTGCCCGGTGGCTGCTGGGCTTTGTGCTCTTTGTGCAGCCCCACAGAGAAAACAAGAGTTTAGTGCTTTGTTGATGGTTAATTTGTCACCTTAACAACATTTCCTGGGGAATCTGATGATAATTAGAGAATGCAACACACACTCAAAAAATAAAGAGAACAACTGGAGCCATGTGCAAGCTGAACTTTGTTGCTGTCAGTGGTGACAGCTGATGGAATTGCTGCCATTTCTGCTCCTTAATGAGCTATTGCTGCAATTAGAGGACTGACCTGGGCCCATTACCACCAGTGAGAACATCACTAGTGGCTAATGGAGAAGCCTTGGGCCAGCAATGTTTTTGTGCAGGGCCTAAGACTTTGGAGAGAGAGGAGGAAAGACAAGGCCCCACCAGCCCGAGAGCTGAATTGCTCTCTGTGCTCCTGCATCTGCCCCAATGGGGACACCAGGATGGCTGCAGGGTTCTGCTGGGGCTTGGGGGTTCACTGCCTGAGGTGGGAGAGGCACAGATTTTTTTTCCCCGTTCTTTTGCCAGAAATTTTGCCAGAACAGAGAAACTATTAGTTGAGGGGAATCCCTGGCAACTCTTCAGCGCTACCTTCCCTCCTGTTCCCTGCCTGCTCCCGCCCCATGTCTATATACTCCTGCCCTCAGATTACTGGATGAGGAACAACACTCCTGGTGCTGACTTCAGGGGGTGCCTGAGAAAGAAGGTGTCTTCCTATTTTCAAATTATGAGAAGAGGATCCAGCCAAGTTCAGGACTAAGAACTCGAGTGCAAATCAGCCCTTGCATCTGCTACATTTTCACATATTCCCCAAATTGCTCCTGTTTCTTATACACCTGTGCAGGCAGATGGTAGATCAACAGGCATGAGAGGACGTTTAAGAAAGTTCCCAAGGAAGAATGAATGATAGTTGACAAAAATTTAGCACAGAACAAAAAAAATTAAAAGAAAGTGGAAACACGAAGGACTTCAGAGTATTTTAAAAGAAATCTGAATGAAATCTGCTTGCAAATTTATACTGGCTTTCAAAGGTTCTTTGTTGTGGTAGTTTTGCAATATATAAAAGGATGCATAAATTCTAATGTTGTTTAAATGAACGTGCTTACAAAATGGCTTTGTAACTCTTTGTGCAAATTCACCCTTCTTGTTCCCAAGGTTCCTCAGTCTTATCTATACCTTTGGAATGCCTGAGAGATAAATGAGAGCTTATCTATTGGTTGTTAACCCCGTATTGAAATTGGTTGTTTGTAAGACCTCCTGTACTCCCAGTGGTCACTTTGTAATTCCCCCAAGAGCTATTTAAGTCACTACCCAGATCAATAAACTCTCTTTGCCTCTCTCCCTGCTGCTGCTGTCCTGTGGTCTCTGCAGGGGCCATGGAGACACCACGTGGTGGGGGGGAGGGGGAGTGCACACTCCCCTCCAGAACTAGAAGTAAAAAGGAAAAGCCTCTGGCTTGGAGTTCCCCTCCCTATCAACCTTCAACCATCGCAGTTCTTCATGAAACAGAAGAGACAACTGATGCCCTCAGCTGACAAGGGAACTCAGATCAGCTTTGACTAACAGGAACAGCACAGGCTGTTCACAGCACAGCTCATGTTGGGCATCTGATGAGGGGCCCCCTGATATGCCACACGCTTGTGGCCTCCTGGAGAACGGGTTTATTTGGCTGACAGTGGTAGGCAGCCATTTCAGAAGGTGGTGGTGCACAGGAGGGTGCAGACCAACTACTAACGTGTTCCAGTCGTCCCTAGGAGAGCTGGGAGAGACAAAGCTCAGGGGTTGCATCCTGCTTAGAACACAAGACGCAACAGCAGAACCCACACGCCCTGCCCATTTCTAGCTGTGGCTGCAGTGCAGCAGCTCAGATGCTCTGGTTCCTTTGGGATATTCTTTCCCAACTCTGCCATCACCCAAAGGTGTTTTGCACTAGGACAGATAAGCTGCTTTACCTCTCGGTGCTGAGGCTGTAATGGGCTTCCAGGTTACCAATGTTGTGAACCAGCAGAGTCTTCTGGGTGCTGTAGTTGACTGGACACTCCGAGAAGTCCAACTGGTCAGGGAAGTCCAAGACTGGGTGGGCACCAATGGCCCGGATTGGCACAGTGAGCATTTCCTTTTCGGTGGTGCAGACAAGCTGGTGGGAATAATCCTGCAGGAAAAGATCCTGGCACAGCAGAGGGTGTCGAGTGTCATCCCCATGGCAGAAGAAAAAGTGTTGTTTTCTGTGACCCTTTGTGGGCAAGAATTTACCTCTTCCACCCCAAAAATGACCACTAATTCATACTAATAAAGGCTGGAGAATAGAGCATGTGAAAAAGCATCATTTTTGCTGCATTCCAGTGGGAAAGAAGAAGGTTCTGTGGATCTTTTTGTTCCTCTATATTTTCCATAATTAAACCTCTTCCACTGAGCCAAGAGATGGCTCAACATCAACACCCCTCCCTGTCATTTCCCTACTCTTCCCCTGTCATTTCCCCACTCTTCCCTCGTGAACATTCAAGAATAGGCATGGAGGGAAAGCAAAGCCCTCTAGGCCCAGCTGCAGGGACTGGCAGCACCACGCCGTGCCAAGGTGTTGAACCAGCTGCAGGCTGCCTGCCCCCAGCCCAGAGCCGACCCCACAGCCCAGCGTGGGCTGTAACCAGTGTGCAGCAAATGCCCTGGCTTTAGAGACAATGTTCCTCCAAATTCACCTTGCTTCCCTCAGGCGTGAAAAGGATGTTTATTGTACAAAATGATCCTGGTGGCACCTGATGACACACACCATCGGGGCTGACCAACTTGAAGTAAGGTGAGCTGTCCATGGTGACCGTCACCAGCTGAGTAACCTGCAGGGAAGACACAAAACGGTGATTTTGCCACTTGTGGAAACAGGAGGAGACCTGGTGACAGCTTTCCTTGACCACTTTTCCAAAGACTTTTAGTCTGGAGGTACAAGCACAGGATACATAAGGGTGAACTTGAATCCCTTCTACCTGGGCAAAGCAGTTCGGCCAGAGGCATCAGGGGAATGCCTGCTGGAAAGGAAGGTCAAGCACCAGCAGTATGCAGATAGAACACCTGAACCAAGTCATTCTCATTTTCAACAAGCCTAGAGAATCTGCTTGTTTCTGCCTGCACACAGCCATGCAGCCCTGTTCTAGAGGGAGAATGGGCTACCTGAAGGCAAACTGGCACATTATCCTGGGGGAAGGAAGAATTTCCCTTCTAACAGGTTGAGTTGGAGTGGGGAAGTCCAGCTGTGGGGAGAAAGTCCTAGGGGCACACCAGCAAGAGGAGGTCAGACACTTGGCCTTACTGGGAAAGTGAAGAGCAAAAGGAGGAACACAGCAAGAAAAAGAGACAAGCTCCGACACAATGAGATGGCAAAGAGAATTTAAATGGACTGTAAATTAAAAAGGAAGAAGCACAAGACACTGCCAGGAAAGGCTGGTGCAGAAGATGAGGGCAATCAGCTTGCCAGAGTGATGGAAAGCCAGATGGCCCTGTAGGCTGTGCCTATCAACTCTGGGCTTCAGAGTATTTTCTGTCTGGAGAAACACAACCAGCACCAACTGACACTGTGGTTTCATTATTAAAAACCAATCTCAGTTCTCCAGGGGCTCTTCCTGCCTGGTGATTGTGGCCAAGCAGCTGCCAGTGCAGGCAAGCCAGACTGTTGGGCATTCCTGCAACCACCCTGCTGCGAGTTCTGCC